ACAAATATAAATGTTTACCACAGATAAAGGTTAATATTTAAACTCATTTTTGTATGATGGTTTGTATGTTGCCTTTCCACATTACAGCAGGTGTGTGTGTTGTGTGCGTGGAGTATGTGGGTGGGACAGAGGTGAGGATTGGAGGTTTTGGGGAGGGTGTAAATCCTGCATATGGGCATCTTCACCTAAAAAGTGGAGTTTTACTTTTTCTCTCTGCTCCTCTCCCACCCGGGTGTAAGCTCAGCAGTGGACTGAGGAGTTTTCTTAGCTCTGACCACCAGAGAAGATGCTTTGCTCCGACTCTTCATGAGGTTCCTGCAGAGCCGAGCAGAGTCGCAGCTCTGCAGCTGATGGGCTGCTTCTCTTTCTATCTTTATCCCTTTTAATTTGGACACAGGGGAGAAATAAATAGCCCAACACACGCTGCTGGGAGGCAAATGAATGGAAGAGACTTGTGGGGAATTTCCCAAGGCTTCAAACACACCAAAGGATCTGGAAACACGTTCTGAATGGACCAAAATGCTTGTAGAAGATTAGTTTTACACTTTCTTTTCTAAAGAAGCCAGCCTATAAACTTTCATATCTTGGACTGGTTTTTTTTTTGTGGACCTTCACTGGAAATAAAATCATTGTGTAAGTTCAATTCCTTTTTTTTATTCCATTTGCAGTAAACTTGGGGATGACAATAATTCAGCAGCTTTTAACTTTACCCTGAAATTATCTATGGAAAGCAGAAAATTCACCCAACATGAACATTTGAAACAGTTCTGATTAAATATTGCAGTGACTGACTCATTGGCTCATTGTGTGTTTTTAGGTCTTTGGCTCAAGCATGTCTTCTTTAATATTGCTTTATCAGTGGAGTCTGGCCATGTTCCTGCTGTGCTTCCCCTTGACTCTTGAAAGGAGACCAGTTGATGCACTTATTAGCAGAGTGTAAGTTTTTTCTGTACTTTCTGGAAAGTTTTCAGAATCAGTGTTAATATTTCCAAATCAGAATTTAAAATCACGTCCACGATAGTGAAAAAAAAAAAAAAATACATATAAATTGCATTTGATCAGGAAACCCTAGTTAGTGAGAGGACTCAGACATGTTTGTGCTGCCACCTGCTGTACCGAGCTTCTCTGTAAACTCGACACTGTCTAATTAAACAGCAAATATCTGAATTTAAAATGACTTTAAAACATATTTAAAAAAATATTGAGTTTTCTGCAAGAAAAAAAGCAAAGTTAATGAGAAATTGATTATTAAACTGGTGACTTTTTAACTTTCTGTGTTGTAAATAATTTGCCTCTATCTCATGGTGTTTCCATAAGGAGGAGGTCTGTGAGCCACACCCAGCTGATGCACGACCAGGGCCGTTCCATGCAGGAGTTCAAACGCCGCATGTGGCTACAAGAGCTCCTGGAGGAGGTGCACACGGCCGATAAACACACTCCTCCTGTGCAGAGCAAGACCCCGAGCCAAACGTTCAATGCAAAAACCGTCCAACTGAAGCCCCCAGGGGCCACCAAGGACCTCCCTGAGAGACTCAGTCTGGTGGAAGAAAGTCTGACTCTCCCCCAGGAGACCAACAAGGCTTTGCCTTATAAGGACCAGCACATAAAAGTTCCCATCAAAAGGAAGAAAAAGGCCCGATTAGGTCGACGCAGAGACAATGAGAAGAATAGGAGGCGAGCGCGGTCTGCCTTTAGAGCGGAACCTTGAGGGACACAGAACCCGGCTCAGAGACTCCCAGGACCGTTTTCATGGTGCTGCACTAAGACACTGTTTCACACTGACTCTAACCTGACATCACGACTGTGCTTGTATGATAAAAATGTTTGTATTTTTGTTTCTTCCCTGGAGTTATCTTCAAAAGTCCATATTTATTTGGAAGATCTTCACACCCCTGTATCTTTGATGTCCTTAAAACATGTGTGTGATGTGTTTTGTAGCCGGGTGTGTCCACGGAGCTCACGAAGAAGTATTTATTTCTTCTGCATCACGTCCAAAAGCAGAGAAGCAGAGAGATCGTCTTACTTCTGGCTCTGTATACGTCGACTATGGAGGACTTGGAGTCATGACAAACTGTTCATCTAATACATCAGTTCCAACGGTTCGGCCATAATTTATTTCACTATGAAAATCTATATTTATTTTGTGAATGTATCACAGTGCTGCTGACTGAATTCCGTTATGCACTTTAGTTACATCCTGTACATGTTCTTTTGTGGTTGAGTTTTAATTGAGTGACTTTTGTTGATGGTACTGCTTTCCTTTCTCACTTCAGACGCCTCATGGACTCATAACTTATTGGAACCTACATCAGACCCACTCTCATGATGGTTTTTGTTTCCTGGGAATGCACCAAAGTCAGGGGCTATCAGACTCAATGTTCTGGACATGCACTGAGTAAATGCTGTACATGTTTCCAGTTAATCACACATTAAAAATGTATTCATGTAGACGTAGATTTAACTTGTCTCGTGTTGTCTTTATTTTCCAACCAGAGGCGGTACCAGCAGGTGCTCCGGGTGACCTATGAGGTCAGAGGACACCTTCATTTCCTGTTGGCTGATGCTCTTTTGTTTTCATTTTTTAGATTTTTTATTGATTTTTTTGCAGGTTAAATATTAACACATCCACATGTTTAAGATCAGTAAATACTGATTGATCATGGGAGAGCTATGGCGCCCCCTAGCGTCTCCCTGGTGCTACTACTGACCTTGATGTGGCCAACAGAGGGTCACACAGGTGGTTCATGAGGTTCCACACCCCCAACGCTTCCAGCTAATTAGGATGGAAATGAACAGGACTGATGGCAGCAGCCGTTATTTTAGTAGTTTCTATTAAATGATTCTATTTATTCTCCAATGTTAGTCAGTTACATTACTCTCTTCATTTAATTTTAATTTACCCCATCAGTACCATGTATATTATATTATATTATATTATATTATAATATATTATATTATATTATATTATATTGTATTGTATTATATTATATTATATTATATTATATTATATAATAATATATTATATTATATCATATTATATTATATTATATTACAATATAATATATTATATTATATTATATTATATTATATTATATTATATTATATTATAATATAATATATTATATTATATTATATTATATTATATTATAATATATTATATTATATTACATTATATTATAATATATTATATTATAATATATTATATTATAATACATTATATTATATTATATAATAATATATTATATTATATAAAATTATATTATATTATGCTGACTAAATCTTTACAGTTTTACCTTCCCATGAACCTTTGGACTTGTTAAAATTGTGCCAAAAATGTCATCTTACCAGTGTCTAAGCTAGAAATCTACTCATGGTTGTTACTTAAAGTCATCACTTGTTAAATCCAGGGAGCCTAATCCGGCTTTATAACATCATACTGTGTAAAAAATCTCCCTCACCCCATTGAAATGGAAAACTGTTTATTTTGTTGTTTTTCAAATTTGTGTAGAAATTTTACAAAATCCCTGCAGATTTCTTTGTTTCATTTTTGTAATCATTTAGAAGTTTTCATGCTGATCAGCGTAAAATAAGTAAAATAGTTCAGCTAATGAAAATCAGCAAAAGCGTCGCAGGTTTGGGCTCCGCGATGACTCGCTGTTGGCTGGAATCACAGAGCCGGGTACCAGCTCTCTTCCCTGCAGCATGAAGCACCCTTGGATGAAAATGTACTAATATCAGATCAAAGTAGCCAAATACCAAAACACTCCCCAACAGAAGTTAAACGTTTGTCACTTTCGACATGCCAAGAACAGATCGGTGATTCTATGCCACAAAGAGTTTAAATAAACAACTTTCAATTTAATGTGGGTTAAAGCAAAACGTGAAGAAAACAAATGGCTGACATGTAGCAAAACATCAAAAGCTGAGCACAAGGAATTTACTAGAAACACAACAGGGATGTAAATAAAAACCAAGAACTGCAAAAGTGAGAATCATACCAAAACGACAGCCTAAAGGAAAATCTACGATTATTCAAGCATTTTAAACTGTCATGGTCTGCGTCTGTCTTCCCCATGTGTCTCCTTATGTCCTCCATCCCTCTTTAGATTCCTCCTTTCTGTGTCTCTTTGCGCCCTCATGTGTCCTTTGTCTGCGTCTCTATATGGTGTCCTCTGTTTGTAGACCTTTTTATCATCCCCTCAGGTCCAGTGTTCTATGTGCCCCAAGTTGCAGCTCCAGCCTCTTTTTCCCCCCAGCCAATATAGACGTGTGTGAGTGTATTTTGGTGTCCGTGTATTTGTGTGTGTGTATGTGCTTGTGTGTGTGTATGTGCTTGTGTGTGTGTGTGTGTGTGTGCGTATCTTGCCCAGTTCAGTGTGAATGTGTAGGTGTATGTGTATATGTGTGTGTGTGTGGGGGGGGGGGGGTGGGGGGGGTGGGGGGGGGGGGGGGGGGTTTAGCCCTTCCCTCTGACATTTCCCTTCCAGGTCCTGTGCTCTCTTGGTACCCTCTTAGCCACGCCCCTGTAGTTTCCTTCTGTAGTGTCTTCCTTTAGTGTCAGCTCTCCTTAGTATTTAGTTATGTTCATGATTTCTGTTTTTGTTTTTCCCTTAGGTCATTTTCCTTTGTTACAGCTTTTCAGTTTTTTCTTCCTCCTCCCTGATTTGGTAATTGCATTCACCTGTTCCTCTCCACGCACCTGCAATTCATCTCCCTCATCTTCCCAGTCTATATAAGCCCGGTCTTGTTCTCTGTCTTGTTTTGGTCCACTAATGTTGTGTTATTCTGTCAGTCTCATCTCTTTTGGATTACCAGTGTTCTTTGTCCCCTTGGATTCTCTAGAGTTTTGGATCTCCAGAGCTTTATCTGGAATTTTGGACTACTGGTCCCCTGCCTTGGACTTATTATTATTTTTTTGTTTCACCTTAAAATAAAGGATTTTTCTTATCTTCATCCCTGCCTCCGTGTCATCCTGGGTACTGCATTTTGGGTCCACACCACCGTATCGTGACATAAACTCTGAAGATGCTTTTCTTTGACTAAAAAAAGAAAAAGCATTGACTGTGTTTCAATCTACCTAAAAGCAAATGTTTGTTTTTGTTTAACAAAATGGGTCAGCTTCACAAACTAATTAGCTACTTGAACGGCGTAAACTAAGATGTTAAAACTGAGGTGGGGAGATTATTCCCAAGTTTTAATTCAGTGAGTCACACTTTGATTGCTCTGAAAAAAGAAAAGACTGCCCTCTCTGATCCATATGAGTGGATTAATCCACTTAAAGAACAGTGATATCAATGATTTGTTGACTTTTTGGCGAGTACATTGCACAGTTGTGCTGTTAAGGTCCCACTTGAGAACACGTGGCATTTTACCGCCCACTGCATGAAAGAAACAGATCCTGGTAAATGCTAGGGGTTACCAAATGTGTCCACGTCAGCTATATCCTGTGCTAACAGCAGTGCACACCACAGGCCATTAGCTGACACAGAGCCATAAAGGCCGTGGAAAAAAGCCTGATAAAGCCACTGTGAGAGGCTCCAGATCGTACTGGAGAAATCAATCAGAGCGGTGAGGAGAAACATCTGTGGAGGGGGGAGAGGAACGAGGAGGTCATGGATCCATAGTGGCTGAAATCACCAAGCATCAGATGCTTGTGATGGGGTTGGTTAAAAGTCCGGGTAGCATTTATAAATCATAAAGCAGTTAATAATCTATTAAATCATTTAGTTGCTGTAGAAAACCAAAGGCAACGTCTTTACAGTTAATTATACAGATGTGTTTGTTTTTGATCTAAAAACAAACAAGCTGTTTTGAATGTGGCTTATGTTGATTTATAGCTAAGATGTTCAAATATTATTAGAAACTTGAAATCAAACCACAAATAGTGAATAAACCTATAAGGCACAGTGGCTCAGAGGAAGGTTCTCTTTAAACCCAGTCAACTAGAATCAATTTGACCCAAGTCATGTTTGCTTTGGGCTCCTCCGTCCAGTCCTGCGAGGCTGCGTTTGAACAGGACAGAAATCAGAGGAAGAAAATGATGAAAGGTGTCAAAATGAGGATAATTCAAACACAACGGAGACCAAGCAACTGAGAAACAACAATGGTGAGTGCACCAACAGTTAGATTAGTTTTATGAAACGAAAACACCAGTTTTTGATAAAAATAAACCTACTGGTATAAATACTACGTTTTCCTTTTATACTCGCTGCTCTTGTTTTATTGATTCAAATTTGTTTTTAGATCAACTAGACAAAGCTTGTGTGTTGATGTTTAACCCTTTATAACCTGAATTATGACAGAATCATAAAAACTAAACAAGATCTATTTGTTGTTTAATGTTAATAAAACATTTAAGCTGTTAAATAATCAGTTTTACTTATATTTTATAAACATTTGTGGATTCAACAGTAAAAACAACATTGGTTCTTGCGAGGGTAGTTGACATGCTTTTAGGACTGGATGTAGCAGATTTCTGATGAAGATACTAATCTTAATACTGCATCTTTACGACGTTGGTTTGAAGAGAATTTGAGTCAATACTCCACGAGGGTTTAATATTAACTCTCTTATCAAAAATAACAGGAATACGATATATTACAACCCATCAGGTACAAAGATGAACAAAAAAATCTGTTCCAGTTCTTGGTGAAAGACTAAAACAGTTGTATTTGTTTCTGGTTATTGGACAGGTGTCGGGTTGATGAGAACATGGCGGTTCCCAACACCTATGGGCTGATCTTTGCCTGTGTCTGTGGAGTGATCATGGGTATCGGTCTCTGTGCCAACCTGCTGGTTTTCTCCTTGTTTGCCAAGAACAACACGTTACGTAAGAATCGTCTGGACATCCTCCTGCTCAGCATGACTCTAGCAGACTTCCTGACCCTTCTGCTCATTCCCCTCACCCTCCACTCAGCTGTCAGCCACTCCTGGCCTCTGGGTGAGACCTCATGTAAGGTCTATCAGTTCCTGCTGGCGTTCAGCCTGGCAGCCAGCACATACTCGCTCTGTGCCGTGTCTATGACCCGCGCCATGATCATCACCAACCCTTACCAGCCACCCACCATGGATCTGGTCATCCTCTTGTTTGTTTTGGTCTGGGCTTTGAGTTTCTTCATCAGCCTGCCTCTGAGAATGTTTGCCACCAAGGAAAGTCTGAACCCAGGCCTGGCAAACTTCAGTTTCTGCCTTCCAACCATTCATGAGCACCACTACCAAGTGGTCCTCAGCCAGTTTGTACTTTACTACTTTGTTCCAATGCTCGTCATCACCTTCAACTATGTCCGCCTGGCGCTTTTTCTCCACAAGAGTCCTGTAATGTCAATGTCCAGTGCCAGGAACACTCGCAGAGCGTCTGTCATGGTGTTTTTGGCTGCTGCCACCTTCTCGGTGTGCTGGCTGCCTGGTTATGTGTTGGAGCTGTGTGTGTACCTGGGGCAGTATCGGCACGGACAGGCCTGGGACACGTTCTACTTCATATGCACTGTGCTGCAGTACGTTCACCCCAGCATCAACCCGGTGGTGTATGTGCTGCTGTCTAAGCGCTATCGCCACAGGAGGGCAGCCTGGTTCTTCATCTGGAACAGGAACAGAGTGCAGCCACAGGTCACCAGTGTCACCACTGACAGCGTTTAGATCCCGCTGCTTTGATCACTGACTCCTAACACCCACCCATAATATTTTTACATATTTTTTGAGACATTATTATTTTGAGATAATAAAGAATCTCATCAGGACAGGTCAACACTAAATAAACCTGAAAGATGCTAAACATATTCTTCTTTGCAACAATTTGCGCAATTTATCTAACTTTTAGGAGGCGTTTTGTTTTTTATTGCTGCAGAGTTGAGCAGTCCCACAGGTTTGAATTAAAACACGTGACACCTTTCAAAGTATTGGTATTGTGTTTTGTTGGTGGACCAATTTTGTCCCGCATAAGCATCATCAACAACCTTTTAATGCAAACCTTCAGTTGTGGCTAAATGTGTAAATGATGGAAAATCCTTTCTTTATAAAACAGTTTTTATTATTTACCACAGAAAACATTTTTATGAACAAAAACACAGAGAAACAAAAGCTACATTTGCTAGAAACTGTAAAATACTAGTTGTTCAAGTCAGCACCTGATAGGCTATTAAACCAAAATAAATGCTTTGGTAAAGAGACAAATGTTTACCCCAAGGAAGGAAAACTGGAATCTCTTTAAAGGACAAATTTCTTCTAAATAGCAGAAAACAACGGTGTGGGATTTGCTGCCTCTGCAGAAGAGGACCGTTAAACGTGAGCTGTATTAAATTTCATGAAGAGTATGATAAAACTGCAGGCTAAGCTGCAGCCGCCCAGCTTCATGATTGAGCCGTCAAAGTGACATTTAAACAACCCTGCACGTAATGACAAGATAACCATCCATAACGGTGTACTTTCAGATGTTTCTGTTTTATTGTTTAAATTGGTCTAAAAGAAACAAGTTGGTCATGAAATTAGAGAGAAACAGTTTAAAGGTAAGGATGGAAGAAGATTAATTTCTACACACACACACACACACACATATATATATATATATATATTAGGGATGCACCAATACCACTTTTTTCCAAATCGACACGATGCCGATACTAGAATCTGAGTACTCTTGGATACCGATTACCGATACTTCTGCCACACACACACACACACACACAAAATGCTATGAATTGGAATACAGGTTTTATTTTCTTCTCCGTTTTCAACAGGAAAAGACTGTAAGGTAGATAAAAATAAATGTATTTACAGAAATGATCACACAAATAAAATATTAAGTGAACAGAAATGACAAGTTGCAGCGAAGCCACTTTCAGGCCACTGCATAGGTATCGGTTCCTGGTATCGGTTAGCTTTTACCGATACAGATACTCGTACAGTGTCGGTGCATCCCAGTATGTTATACATATGTAACATATTGCATGATGCTGCACAGAATACGCTGATTAAACTGGACCTTGGTCAAACTTAGAAAACAGAACATTATGTTTTTTTTTCTTGCTTTTGGGGCATCTCTAACAATAATGATTAATAAATAACCCTAAAAAGGTTAAAATGCACATCAGAGTGCTACAAAGTGCTTTTTAGACTCTTGACCATCACAAACGAACGCACGTGAGTTGTGCACACTTTAGTTTTGTGAATATGCTTTAGTAGAATACAGAAAATCTACTTTCTTAAGAAGTCCAATCTTTAACAATGACAATATTAATGCAGTTTAAAGTTTAACATCCTGAAACCCTTTTCATTTATTAGATTTTCACTCTGATGTGACCTTAGTAACTTTTTGTAAGTTGATTTGTATATAGTAAACTTCTGATTTCATCCACAGATTGATCTCACGCCTGACATTCATCCAAATGTATTTTTTGAATTCTACGGAGACCGCATTCTTGACACGCTCCGTGTGTTACTCAATGTACATAGCTGACAGAAAATAGTTGTGGCCACACATTGTCGGATCAGAGAGCTCTTGCTATGAGCTAATCGCTCCATGTGCCACACAGGCAGCGTTGAAGGAGTGTTGTCTGTGTATTTATAGGAGTCTCTAAGGTTCTAGCACAGGGGTTGCACTTTGGAGACGGATTCAGTTACAGCTCCAGTGAAGGATAAAAATAATTCATCTATTCAGACACAAACATGAGTATAAAGTCACTGTATGAAGCCATAGGCAGGGATTGTTAAGCTGTATTTCAAATTATTTAAGCAGCTGTGGCGATTTGTTTCAGTGAGCTGTCATCATTCCTAAAATAGCTCACCCCCTTTACCCAAACAAGCGCTCCAACATGAGATGGCATTCAGGGAAAACACTCAAATTTGGTGTTTTCCCACCTAATTTTATTTTAGAAAGAAGACTCAGTTTGGAAGATTTATTTTCGGTTATGCAAGCTAACAACACGTGGTGCGGACGGTCAGCACCGGCTCCGGTGTGACCCAGCAGAACAGCTCAGCGGGTGTGTTTGAACTGCAGAGCTTACTGTAACACGGCGGTACATGACAGGTGAGGTGAAAAAATAAAAAGCTCAACGTTAACACTGAGTAAACTGAGCTTCAGAACAAGCGAGGCCTTGTGAGCGCCAGTGTAAATGTGGTACTTTCTACAAAACAAATAATCTGAAAAAGTGAAATTCTGCGCTCACTTCAAATCACTCCTGCAGTTCTGTGTGTAGGCAGAACATTTCTGATGATTTCGCTGCACATGCATCTCTAAAGCAACGTCGTTTCATGAGACCAAAGCCCTGATGTTCTACTGTGACAGATGTGTAAACGACAGTAACAGCAGACAGGGATATCATCTGCTGGTTTTTATTTTTATTTATTGTTGAGGCGTGTCAGTTCCATGACACGATCCTTTGAAACCTTCTTCTAAGCACATCAAGAGAAGCTGGAAATGCTTTCAGATTTATGACGCTGCTGCACCAACACAAGCTTACCAACCTATTTGTTTTACTAGCTTCAATATTTCTTTAAAGTGGGGCGTTGCGCTGAATTAACATCTTACCTGTTGTAAAGAGCTCTTTGGACAAATAAAATATGGAAAAATAGAGATGAAGCTCTGGTGGATTGATGTGCTAATGGCTAGTCACATAGTACATTGAAACATCTCTATTCTCAAAATGTCAAGGCAGTTCATGCAAACATGGTTTAGTAGACCTCTACACTGCCAGGAATTTGCCATTAGTTAATTTTACATTGTGTTATGTAAAAGTTAGGTAACACTTTAGTTTAGAGAACACAAATTAACCATTTAATTTAATAAACCATCTGCCAATTAATATGCATATTAGTGGACTACTACGTCTGAATTAGCCATTATTAAGCTATTATCAGGTGCTTATTGTGATTCTAATAGTACAGGCCATAAATGAAAAGTTTTATCTAAATAAGCCATTCATAACGGTTTGTTAACTGAAAGTAAATGGTTTGTTGTTTTGGCGTGGAATACTCTACATCCAGAATGCTAGAAGAACTGTGTTGGTGACCGGCTATTTTATGGTCCTATATCATCACAAACATCTTGACTTTAAAGAGTAGACAGTAGAGTAAGTCCTTTCTCACTGGGTCAACCCAATTTAAGGTGTCTGCAGTGGTGTTGCGCGATTATCACAAATGAGACGCATGACATAATGTGTGGCAGAACTGTCAGGAGGGAGTCAAGAGGGCCCCATTAGAGAGGGTTGGATGCTTTTCACTCTGCCACTGTTGTTGTGGTTCTGACTTTAAAGTTTGTTGGCACTATAGGGCCCCCTTGTGGATTAGAGGCCCCATGGCATTGCCTGCCCTGCTTGCCAGCCCACTGCGTCTCTGGGTGTCTGCAACAGCCAACTGACACGTAGCCAAGAGGTCTTGTGGGTTCAATAAAATTACTCCCATTTTTCTTTTCTTAAAAGTTTAAAATTAACTGCTAGCCTCAATCGATGCTCATTAACTGCCAGCCATTTCCTGATCGGTAAAGCCCTTCGCTGCCAGCGTTTCCCACAGTTTTTACTTTTTTTTTTAAGAGTCACAGAACATTGCGCGCTAGGATGATGCCAGCGCCAAAACAACCAAAACAAAGCGGAGACTCACCTCTTACATCAGGAAGAATCTGCACGTTTCAAGCGTTATCCGTTCTTTCATAATCCGTTGTTGAATTGTGACGGCAGAAGCTTTTCTGGTTCGTGCCTCACTTTTTTTTTTTACAGCAGCGGCCCAAAACGATCTTCTAACACATGGATTTTCTGCTTCCTGATCACGTGACGTGTGACGTATGCGGATGAAGATCGGCTTTAGAGCTGAGATGTTTGTTCTCGCGGTGCGGGGGCTCGTTCCGATGCCCAAACAGTAAAAAAATGCAAATAATAATAATAATAATAATAATAATAATAATAATACATTTAATTTAAAAGCGCCTTTCAGGACACCCAAGGTCACTTGACAGAAAATACTTCATAAAATACAATAAAACAATAATAAAACCCAAACAAGAAAAAACAAAGAGAGAAACAGTTCAATAAAATCAGAGGTTGTAGGCAGATTTAAACATGTGTGTTTTGAGTTTTGTTTTGAAAAGGGTAAAACTGTCGATGTTCCTGATGTCTGGGGGAAGTGAGTTCCAGAGACGAGGAGTAGAGCGGCTGAAAGCTCTGCTCCCCATGGTAGCGAGACGGGCAGAAAGAACCGCAAGATGGATGGAAGAAGAAGATCTGAGAGAATGGGATGGGGTGTGAATACTTATAAGGTCTGAGATATATGGAGGAGAGAGGTTGTGGATTGCTTTGAAGGTATGGAGGAGAATTTTGAAGATGGACCTGAATTTCACTGGGAGCCAGTGAAGCTGCTGGAGAACCGGGGTGATGTGGTGAAAGGAAGGGGTTCTGGTGATAATACGGGCTGCTGAATTCTGGACCAGTTGCAGTTTATGAAGGAGTTTGTTGGGGAGACCATAAAGAAGTGAATTGCAATAGTAGACGGCTTTAGTCGTCATTGGCAGTGAATGAGTTAATACTGATTCAAGTTGGTCACCCCAACACATCACCCTCAGCAAAACAGTCACAATTTACAGATATGTATCTGCAATACCATGTGGAAGTATCTGTGAGTCATTCAAAACATGTATTCAGAGACATAATCTTTCAAGAATAGTACCAATCCAGAATTCTGGCATGAAAGGAGGTTGATGTGGACGCCCCCCCCCCCCCCCCCCCCCCCCCCCCCCCCAGCCCAACGTCTGATCAACACTGCCTGCTAAAAAGGGAAAGGCTTGATTAAGGAGTGAAACCTTAATCTTTGGTAGGTGTGGGAGGAGGCATACGGAGGTGACTCCAAGGAACCCTGCCCTCTGGGTCTGAGACATCCAGTTTCATGTATTGCCACATGCCTCCTAGCCAATCAGCAAAAACATGAATACCAACTTCAGATGACACCGGGCTAAAATTGGTAGCTATCAAAATCCAAGAACTGGCAAGATGCTCAGCCAGGGTGTCCACTTTCCTGTGTGGAAGCCCTGGGTTCGGACACTTCAGTGCGATCAGACTGAGTGCTATGTTGATTTGCCGAGTGAGTAACTGCAAGGGTATGAGCATAGGCTAGAAACTTTCACACTGATAATTAGATGTACAGTTCTCACATATCTGCCGTGTTCTCAGGAAGATGAATACGGATTAAAATGCGTGTTGTCAAATCATCTGATTGTGTAGACTTCTTAGCACTGATCAGAACTCTAATAAGCACCTGGCAAAATTTAGATTTTTCAATCCTACACTTTTATTTTGCAAAGTTAATAAAAACAAGAGGCTCGCCCAACCATAATGCTGACGACACATAGCAACACAACCCCAGTGCATTCTGGGAAGGTGGGTGCTATGTTTCACAAAACCTTTTCTTTTAATTGTCTTTTTCTGTTGTGGGGCATTCAGCTTATATGCGATCATGATGCAATGCTGAAGTGTTGCAAAGTGCTGCAGCACTTCTCATATGACGTAACTGCTTGCCACAGTGGCAACATGTTGCCCTTGCTGCTGTGGATCATCTGGGAACTTTTCCAATCAGCTTACATGAAAGAAAAGCAAATCCTTCCTCAAAAGTAATTCATCCATCCATCTATTAATCCATCCATCCATTTCTCTCTGCTTATTTGAGGACAGCAGCCTATGCAAAAGAGGCCCAGACTTCCCTCCGCCCAGCCACTTGAGCCAGCTCCTCTGAAGGAATCCTCAGGTGTTCCCAGGCCAGCCGAGAAACATAGTCCCTCCAGCATGTCCTGGGTTTTCCTCTATGTCTCCTCCTCGGGGGGATGTGGAAAACCTCACCAGGGAGGTCTCCAGGAGGCATCCTAACAAGACATCTGAGCCACCTCAACTGGTTCCTCTCGATGTGGAGGAGCAACAGATCTATTCAGAGGTCTTCCCAGATAACCGAGCTACTCATCCTAATCTCTAAGGGAGAGCCCAGACACCCTGCAGAGAAAACTCAATTCAGCTGCTTGTATCTGCAATCTCATTCTTTTGGTCACTACCCACAGCTCGTGACCATAGATGAGGGCAGGAACGTAGATCGGCCGGTAAATCGAGAGCTTCATCGTCTGTCTCACTCTCTCTTCAACATGACAGACAAGTACAAAACCCACATCACTGCTGATGCAGCACCAATCCACCTATCAATCTCCCGATCCATCCGATATTTCCACCACTCGTAAACAAAACCCAGGGATACATTCAGGCAAAAACTTATTTAGTCAGCCTCCAGTTGTGCAATTCCCTTCAGTTCATCTCCATACTTTGTTATTTGCCCTTTGTTGGCAATGACAGAGGTCAAACGGTTTTCACACACCGCTGCTGGTATTTTGGCCCATTCCTCCATGCAGATCTCCTCTAGAACAGTGATGTTTTGGGGGTGCCCCAAAGTATGATTTTTTTCTCCCCCATGCTTTACACTAGGCATGGTGTTCTTTGGATGCAACTCAGCATTGTTTTTCCCCAAATATGAAGAGTGGAGATCTTTGGTGTGTTCTTAATTCCATCTTTTAGTTCTTTTTAAAACACAGAAAGGTTTTATTTACCTACTGTAGGTAAATAAAACCTTTCTGTGTTTTAAAATGAACTAAAAGATGGAATATGAAGAGTAGAGTTTTTACCAAAAAAGTTCTAATTTGGTTTCATCTGACCATTTGACATTCTCCCAGTCCTCTTCTGGATCTTTCAAATGCTCTCTAGCAAACTTCAGATGGGCCTGCACATGTACTGGCTTAAGCAGGGGGACACGTCTGGCACTGCAGGATTAGAGTCCCAGCTGCGTAGTGTGTTACTTACTGATGGTAGCCTTTGTTACTTTGTTCGCAGCTCTCTGAAGGTCATTCACTAGGTCCCCCCGTGAAGTTCTTTTGATCATTTTGACTCCAAAGGGTGAGATCTTGTTTGCAGTCCCTGATCGAGGGAGATTATCAATCGTGTAATGTCTTCTACTTTCTAATAATTGCTCCCACAGTTTATTTGTTTACACAAGGTTCTCATCTGTTGCAGAATCAGGCGTCCCAGCCTGGTGCAGGTCTACGGGTTTGTTTGTGACGTCCTTTGACAAATCTTTGATCTTGGCCATATGGAACTTGGAGTGTGACTGTTTGAGGATGTGGACAGGTGTCTATTATACCAACAAGTTCCAACAAGTGGAGAACAGAGGAGCCTCTTTCAGAAGAAGTTACAGATGTGTGGGAGAGCCAGAAATATCACTTGTTTTTAGGAGACCAAATATCTATTTTCCACCATGGTTGGCTAAGAAATTCTTAAAAAATCAAAGAGCATGACTTTCTGGAACTTTTTTCTCATTTTGTGTCTTTTAGCTGAGGTATATCAATGAGGAAAGTTACAGGCCTCTCTTATCTTTTTAAGTGGGAGCACGCTTTTGCCCCACTGTACTTAAACTCCTCCACTTGAGGCAGGAACTTGTCCCTGATCTGGAGAAGGCATTTACCCTTTTCTGATTCAAGACCACGACTCTCATCCCAGCTGTTTCACACTCGACTGCAAACCCCTTCAACAAAAGCCGGAGATCATGTTCTGATGAAGCCAACACGATCATCTGCAAGAAGCAGAAATATGATCCTCAGGCCACCAAAATGGATCCCCTCACCATCTTGGCTGCGCCTAGAAATCGCAGGTAATACAGGGACCTAACAGCCCGTATCAGAGGGCCTGGCACCCTATACTCCTGAAGTACCCCCCACAGGGTCTCCCAATCCGCAAAACTCATTTAGACTGGTTGGATGAACACCCACACACCCTCCAGGACAGCTCCCCCAAGGGTATAAAGCTGGTCCGGTGTTCCATGGCCAGGAATCTGAGGTTCGACAGTTCAGCAAAGCCTCCTCTCCCGAACACCCGAATAGACTTTACCAGGGAGGCTCAGGAGTGTTATCCCCATGTAGTTGGAATACACCTTGTGGTCCCCCTTGGGACCATCATCCCGGTCTGCCAACCCAGTGGAACTGCCCCTGATGTCCACATGATATTGCAGAGCAGCATCAACCAACACAGCCCTACAGCATCTAGAGCCAAAAGGAACTGCAGGCAGATCGCGTCCACCCCTTGCCTCCAAGAAGCTTTTAAACCACCCCAGTAACCTCGGCCCCAGAGATTGGGGAGCCCAACCCAAAGTCCCCGAACTCCTTTTTCTCACTGTAAGTCGTGATTTTGGGATTGAAGAGGTTATTGAAGTGTTGCACCCATTAATTCACTATGCCCTAAGTCGAGCTAAGCAGCACACCATCCCCACTATTAACAGTTTTGGTAGTGCACTGCTTTCACCTCCTGAGGTGCCGGATGGTGGACTAGAATGTCCTCGAAGGCAAACAAAAGTCTTGCTCCATGGTGTCACCAAACTCCATCCCATGCTCTGGCTTTTAGTCTCTGCGACCACCCGAGCGGCATTCCACTTGGTCTGCTGGTACCTATCAGCTGCCTCTGGAGTCCCACTGGCCAAAAAGACCCAATAGGACTCTTTCTTATAATCTACTTTAATTCAGCCAAAAAAAAAAAGTTTGCCTATGCAAAGTAATTTTCCAACTTCTAAAGCACTGCTCAAGCACAGCTGCACGTAATTTCAAACAAATCAAACTGTGATAACATATCTGTGAAATGTTCTTCTGCATCTACAGATCTAGTTCTGAAACGACTCACACACAACATCAAATCAGAGGTGTGGATCAAGTCACTGCCCACAATTTGATTTAGATCTGAACTCTCATTTTCCCAAGACATTCCCAAGAAAAATACATTTCTTATTTTTTTCCTTTATCTGGACTTTTCTTGGAAGATGCACCTTGATGACTAATAACGGATTTTTAGTCATGGATTAGATCTATATAGCCCTTTTCTAGTTACTCAAAGCTCACCCGGTGTGGTATGCTACTACGTAACCACAGCTGCCCTGGGACGGTCTGACAGATGCTGATGACATGGCTCCTTGTTACTCATAGGCCTATAATTAGTCCTAATGTGTTGCTGAAATTAGATAAAGTACAAGTGTATTAATGACGGATGCATTCCTTTTAGAAGTTCTGCTTATTGGCAGTTTTAAAGAACAACCAGCAAGCACAGCTGCAGCAGTGACTCTCAACCCGCGTTGATACACCTGTGCTTTCTCAATCCTGCAGGTCAAGATGTGTAATGTTCACATCTGCAGACGCTTTGTTCTCATCAGGCTGTCCTTGAGACACAGTTTGTCCTCACATCTGGATTTAGGGTAAAATAGGCGATGGGCACTAATGATCTAACTAAATGATGTAATTAAATTCAGAATCAAAGCAAAAGTGCTGTTAAACACACACACACACACACACACACACACACACGCACACACACGCACGCACATGCATGCACACACACACACACACACACACACACACACACACACACACACACACACACACACACGCACGCGTACACACACACACACACACACACACACACACACACACACACACACACACACACACACACACACACACACACACACACACACACACACACAGAGTGTAAATCCTCAGCCTGGAGTTCCGTAAGAGGTGAAAGCCAAGGAGAGCTGCTGACACAACTTGCTACTGTGATTACGACGCGTCTGAAAAGGGCCGAGATGGAGACTCGTCTGCTCATATTTAGAAAACCAAGAACAAGAAGGAAAAATGCTACAAGTGTCTCAATAATAAAATGAAATAATCCATAATTCCTACAGTAGCTTTTAGAAAATGATACTCATTTCACTCGCGGTTGTGAAAGAATAAAACTGTCCGGTTGTAAACGTGAGTGTAGCTAATCTCTAATGTTTTCTCTGTATTTAAACAATGTTTAGAAAGCAGATGTTCTCTTGCTGTGAGTGAATACACAGTATCTTGTTTCTAATGGGGGTGTGGGGGTGGGGGAGTCAAGCCATTAATAACGATGGGAGGCTCCGTACTGTCAGCAATTGTCCCTCCTGCCAGTTTTACTGCATGTGTCCCTCAAGCCTCACCCCAGGACACCAAGTCCCACATACGACCATCAAATCATCATGAATGTAAATAAAACCTAAATATAAGAAAGAGCAACCCTTAAGTGTGATAATTCCAATCAGAATATGCTCAGATTAGTATGTATATGCAGGAAAGTTTAATTTATTATTGATAATTAAAGTAACTAGCTGAATCTCAAAATCTTCTTTCTGTTCATATCAAAGTTAGCTCTTGAGCTTGTTTGTTGTGGTTTGTTGTCATGGAGACAGCCTAGCCCTGACACCTACCCAACCCGTGCTCTATGCCTATAACATTATAGCAGCAGGTGGACTGAAACTGACGCCCTGACTCATGTTGTTGTGGTAAAATCGGGCCTCTGTGGTGTTTAGTTGATTTTCACCTGATTGTGGCGAAAATCCACCTGGTCACAAATGACCTGCACATTAATGCAAAGCACCCAGATCGGTTTGGGTTACACTGATTAACGCCTCTGTTCTATTATTGTGGCGCTCTTGTGGGGTCTGAGTTTTATAAAAGCAGTGAAAGAGCAGAAAACCCAGCAGCCGTAGAAGTTTCCACGAGGATTCCTCCTCTGAACTTTTCTAATCATTCAGTCGAACTGAGATTTTCTCCCTTCTGGAGCTGTTTGAAGGTTTTATTTTCTATCTGATCCCTTTAAGTGCCGGGGGATGAATGTTATTTTGGCTTTGTGATGGCAATGTCCTCTCCCACGACTCGGGTGTCAGTCAAGCCAGCAGTTTCCACTGGCTGGGACTCTGGCCCCCTCATCATAGGCTGCAGGGTTTTGAACTTTAGGGCAATCAGGTTCATTTACACTCACTTTTTTATATCTGTCTCATTTGTCGCAGCATGGAAGACAAACCTCACTGTGCTCCTGCTTTAAATGTCTCATTCATCTAGACTCCTAAAGCTGGGAGACAACCTAGACACGGTCTGGGTACTGGAGGTTCCCCGTAGGACAAGAATAACCCCAGGACGTCCTGAATCTGGGACGCGCAGGGCGAGGAGCTCCAGTCCTGGGCTGAGACTGAAGCTGGAAGCAACTTCAACAACTCCAAGGACCTGAAAGAGAGGTGTTTGCAAGAATTAAAATTGAGATTTACTCGCTTTGGAAACGGTTGCAATGGAAATACGTCTGAGAGGGACAGCAGCAGGAGCGGCAAGAGCAAGTGTCATCCGCTGTTCCAGCATGGGGAGGGCTGTGGAGTTTAAAACGGTGTGAATATGATAGCCTTCTGGAGCCTTATGCAAGTGGAGATCTGTGTGCGCTATTGAAAGTTGTCAGTTCGGAGGCTCTAATCTGACAAGAGTCTGGTGTAAACAAACAATAGACAAAGACACTTTGGAAATCGACTAAATCCAAACAGCCGGAGAAGGAGGTGAAAAGGGGGACTTTGGTTTCATTTGGCAACGCGTATGAGAGAAAGATTCAGAAGGACACACAGGCAAAAGGGCAAGGGGAAGGTGAGGAGGTGAGCGACGGGCTTACCCTTTAGAGGGGTAAACACAAAACATGACCGTGGTGTCTCAGGACTGTAACGAAGAAGCCGTGGTGGTCACTCCTTTGTTGCAAGATGCTGCCGTCCTGGAACCAGCGGAGAGGGAGTGCAGCGAGCGGGTGGTCATCAACATCTCAGGCCTGCGCTTCGAAACGCAGCTGAAGACCCTGTCCCGCTTCCCCACCACGCTCCTGGGAGATCCGCGCAAGAGGACACGCTTCTTTGACCCTCTGAGGAATGAATACTTCTTCGACAGGAACAGGCCGAGCTTTGACGCGATCCTCTACTATTACCAGTCTGGAGGGAGGCTCAGGAGACCTGTGAGCGTGCCTGTGGACATTTTCCTGGAGGAAATAAAGTTTTATGAACTTGAGGATGAAGTGATAGGGACATACAAGGAGGACGAGGGTTTGGCCCGTGAGGAGGAGCGCCCGCTGCCTTCTAAAGAGTTCCCACGCCAGCTGTGGCTCCTGTTTGAGTACCCGGAGAGCTCAGGACCCGCGCGGACCATCGCCATCGTGTCAGTTATGGTCATTTTGATATCTATTGTTATTTTTTGCTTGGAGACTTTACCCGAGTTTCGAGAAGTCCCCCCGGAGATCGAGTATCACGCGAATGGAAGCATTCTGAGCAAGGGCCCCAGTCCCTTCACCGACCCGTTTTTCATGGTGGAGACTCTCTGTATCGTGTGGTTCTCGTTTGAATTCACCATGAGGTTTCTATCTTGTCCCAGTAAAGCAGCTTTCTTTAAAAACATCATGAACCTGATTGATGTTGTGGCCATAGCTCCCTATTTTATTACCCTGGGCCTGGATCTGGCTGAGCACCAGGGCAGCAGTCAGCAGGCTGCTTCTCTGGCCATCCTGAGGGTCATTCGTCTGGTCCGTGTCTTCAGGATCTTTAAACTCTCCAGACACTCCAAAGGTCTGCAGATCCTCGGCCAGACTCTCCACGCCAGCCTCAGGGAGTTGGGGCTGCTGATATTTTTCCTTCTCATTGGAGTCGTATTGTTCTCCAGCTCAGTTTATTTTGCTGAAGTCGAAGATCCGGAATCTGCTTTTTCCAGCATCCCTGATGCCTTCTGGTGGGCTGTGGTGACAATGACCACCGTGGGCTACGGGGACATGTATCCCTCCACCATTGGAGGAAAATTTGTGGGTTCTCTGTGTGCTATCGCCGGAGTGCTGACCATAGCTTTGCCGGTACCTGTGATTGTCTCAAATTTCAACTATTTCTACCACAGAGAGAACGATGAGGAGGAAAATTTGCAGTACATCCATGTGACATGCGGGCAGCCAGAGCAGCTGCCCTCTTTGGGTGAGAGTGACTCCATCAAAAGTAACCAGTCTCTCTCCAAAACTGAGTCCTATCAGGGGAGCGGCGACCTGGAGATTCTAACTCACCCAAAGGTGACTCAACCAGAATCCTACACAGGAAAACTGACCGAAGTGTGAAGAGGAGGGGTTTGTTCTTGGTGAGTTTTTGGTGATTTCATAAAGAGTAACCAAATATAAACTAATTAGCCTAAATCTATCTAATCGTTATTAAACACGAAAACATTACAGTTGCAGCTTCTCACTTTTCCACACACTGGAGCTATTCTTAGAACCACATGACATCAGGGCAGCGCGAAAAAATAGCGCGCCACTTTGCGCAGAGCGCATGTCATGTCTGTTTCTGGTGTCATTTGACGGTGTTACATATCAGGCGTGTCACCTTAGGGCGTTAGATGATCTATGAAATGGTTGGATCAGGGGTTAGGAGGAGAGGTCGTGGATCGTCTACCAGCTACTGTGCGTAAAATGTCACTGGGAAATAAAAGAGGGTCAAAGCTGAGCTTTAAAAATGGTGCTGGGTCAGGAAATATTATTTTTTACTTTTCGTTTTAGGAACTGCATCTGTAATAAAAAGGTGAGGTGGTTTCCTCCCCTCGATGTTATTGTTTTATTGTTGTTTAAGCACAAAAAGTGTTTTAATTCATTCTAAATGTGCTGTGGATCAGAGTCCAGCCGCGCGTCAACGCGCCCAGAACGCAAGAACGTCTTTATGCGCCACACTAGGGCTCACATCTCATAATGATCTCTAAATTGTGCAACAGGCTGTCTTGTGGCGCTCTCTCTTGCCACTTTACCGCAAATACCACAGACTTCCGCTTTAATGACGCACCTGTTTCATCACCAGGCTGTTGTGACCTAGAATTAGTTCTACCAGCTATGTGAATTGTGTCTTTAACGAGAAGGTAGACGTGAGGAATCTGTAATGCAGCTTCAGGTTTAAACTGAGAGAATGAGTGAGACCACAGCGCCCCCGTGTGGATGACTAACAGCCCTGCAGACAACAGAAAATACCGGTTTGTCAGTATTTAGCCCGGCTGAAGCTCAGGGCTGTCTGAAGCTTGATCTGACACGTGTAACACGGTGGCTTTTTTCTCTGCTTCTTGTAGGAGTCACAGCAGCTGGGATCACCTCCTCCTCCAGAAACCCTGGGTCATTTTCTCACTGCTCACCTCTGCAGCATCAGAGCTGAACCCCAAAAGACCCAAAGAGGGACATAAAGACACCCCACCTCCTTACCCCCTCACTCCATTTCTCCGTCAATGATGTGTGTAAAAGATGCCTGGTGTATATATTACAGTTTTGTAAATCTGAATGCTCCTGTCATGGTGTTAATGAAAACTTGTCATTTGTCTTTTTAATTGTCAGGAACATGCCTGGCAGCATCTTAATGCATGACCTGCTGTCATTTTAAATGTAATAAAGTGTCTATTTTTATAATTTACACCCGAACTTTATGTATTTTTAATATAAATGAATCGTTAAATGAAACAACATTGGTCCTTTATTTATTCTAAACTCAGACCTGTCTGATTAATAAAACAGACCAGAAAAGCTGAGGCTTTGGCTCTGGTTTTTTCCTGTTTTTATGAACTCTGACAAACCACAGACAGGCCAGTCAGTGTGAATCTGATTAATTCTCCTCGTTTTGTTTTGTGGAGTCTGATTAGCGCTGTCCGTGGTGCTGAAATGGTTTTGTGTAGATTTTTGTTAAAGTTGTCCCATATCCCGGTAGTGTTCAGGGCCCAAATACAAACGCACACGTTTTAAATCAGCCAGTGTCATAAATAACCAATTAGACACAGACCTCCTTTAGGTTGATCCAACCAGGTTTTTTTCGAAGTTAGAATTTTCTCGGCTGTGTAACATTTTTCTGTTTGCAGTCTTGATTGCGCCAGTGCTGGCACACGGCGCTCCTGGTTTGTGGTTTATAGGAAGAACTTCTGGTCCTTTAGTAGAGTCGGTCTGCATTGCGTCGAAACCCTCCAACTCCTCCCCCTCCTCCCTCTCCTCTCTCTCCTCGCTTCCGCTGTACTTGCAAGTTAAACGCACAACAAATCATGCTCGGCATTGTTCAGAAACCAATTGAGCGTCGCGCGCTGCTCAGATCTGCGTTTTAAATCATTTTTTTGTTTTAATGAATTTAAAATGAGAAATCGTGTTCATGGTCTTGCGCTGGAGCACGTACGTTTCTGCCCGTCATTCCGTCTTGTGGCGAAAAGGCAGCAGATTTCTGCTGATGCAGTGATGTATGGAAATGTCAAGGACTCGCTTATTGCCTCTTAAATGTATCTACCCCCGAACTGCAGCGCAGGATCTCCTCCTGCGGTAGACTTTTAGCTCTTCTCACCACCGTGCCGCCGTCAAAGCGACTTTTGCAGCCCAGCAGTCCTCTCTTCTCGCTCCTTTCCCTGTCAGGCTCCCTGCACCAGACCACTAAGCGTTAGTTTAATCTCAATGTGATGAGAAAAGCAACGTTCGAGGCTTTTATTTACTAGACGCAACTGAAAGTTCCTCACCTGACAACCACCAGTGCCCTGCTGTTGAATGATTTTACTCGAGGCTAAGACGCATTCAAGACCTCCAGAGACCAAACCTCGGTAAGTCTCTCAAACTGACTTGTCCAAAAGTTATTTGTCAGATAGCGTATTTTCATATTTAGATGCAGTGTTTCCACTGTAGACTTATTGCTTGTATCTTTATCTGAAATTGTCACTAACCCTCTGAGCTACAAGCATGCAGAAAAAGAGGAATTGACATAATGTCTGTAGAAAATGCTATGCGTCACATTACTCAACTAGACGAAGATAAATCACTCCCAGGCTTCTTGAAGACAAAGATTCCCACAGTTTCTGTATAAACTCAGCAACCTTTCCTATGCAGAAAAGAGAAAATGCCAAAAAGGAGTTGATATTTAAGACATGTAGCATGAAGATCACTACAAAGTCACCAATAAGTACTTCAGGGAGATTTTAAGTGCTGTAAAAAAGATAAAGAAAAGTGAATGAATGAATTTCTTCTTAATCGCCTCAGAGATGCAGATGAATTAAAAAAAATACAACAAAGAAACTGCAGAAAATGCTGAGCCAGCAAATATCTTGGCTGTTTGATTCCATTATCCCCTCCCTCCCTCCCTGCTTCCCTCCCTCTTTCTTGGTTGACAGAAGCAGCAGTAGCAACTGCTGCACATGCACTGGAGAGCAGCAATGGTCAAGTCAGCGAGAGCCGCAGTGGAGCTTCACTGAGGCAAAGCAGCCAACCACCCCCCAAACAACTGGGGACGCTCCAACAATCTAAGGGGTGTGGGAAGCTGAGGAGTGGAAATTTTCTCCCAATCCTGAATGCCCGGTCAGTTAAATTAACACCCCTTCACAGTTCCTCCTCCACCTCCTTCTCCCTTTTTGCCACCTCATCCTCCTCCTCCTCCTCCACCCCAAAATGACTGTAGTAGCAGGGGACAACATGGACGAGACCTCGGCTGTCCCAGGACACCCTCAGGACGCCTACCCACCAGACCACAATGACCATGAGTGCTGCGAGAGGGTGGTCATCAACATAGCTGGCCTCCGGTTTGAGACACAGTTAAAAACTCTGTCTCAATTTCCAGAGACGTTGCTAGGCAACCCCAAAAAGAGGATGCGGTATTTTGACCCCCTGAGAAATGAGTACTTCTTTGACAGAAATCGCCCCAGCTTTGACGCCATCCTGTATTACTACCAGTCCGGTGGCCGACTAAGAAGGCCAGTGAATGTTCCCTTGGACATGTTCTCAGAAGAAATAAAGTTTTATGAGCTGGGAGTCGACGCCATGGAGAGGTTTCGTGAGGATGAGGGCTTCATCAGAGAGGAAGAGCGGCCTTTGCCTGAGAGGGAGTTCCAGCGTCAGATCTGGCTCCTCTTTGAGCATCCAGAAAGTTCAAGCACCGCCAGAGGGATTGCTATTGTGTCTGTGATGGTCATCCTCATTTCAATAGTCATATTTTGTCTGGAGACTTTACCACAGCTGAAGGAAGACCCAGCGGGACGATTTGAGAAATCTGGGAACATTACTATTTATTACAAACCAAATATCCTCACTGACCCCTTCTTCATCATCGAGACTCTCTGTATAATCTGGTTCTCCTTTGAGTTGATAGTTCGCTTTCTGGCATGCCCGAGCAAACCGGCCTTCTTCAAGAACATGATGAACACGATTGACATTGTGGCCATCATCCCCTACTTCATCACACTCGGCACGGAGCTTGCAGAAGACCCAGAGAGCGAGGGAGTAGGGGAGCAAGCGACATCTCTGGCCATCCTCAGGGTGATCCGTCTGGTCAGGGTGTTTCGGATCTTCAAGCTGTCACGACACTCCAAGGGACTTCAGATTCTGGGGCAGACCCTCAAGGCCAGTATGCGGGAGCTGGGATTGCTGATCTTCTTTCTGTTCATTGGAGTCATCTTGTTTTCCAGCGCTGTCTACTTTGCTGAAGCAGAGGAGAAAGACTCGTACTTTGGTAGCATCCCGGATGCATTCTGGTGGGCTGTTGTATCCATGACAACTGTGGGTTATGGTGACATGGTCCCGGTCACTATAGGAGGCAAGATTGTAGGATCTCTCTGCGCCATCGCTGGAGTCTTAACAATTGCACTCCCAGTGCCTGTCATTGTGTCCAACTTCAACTACTTCTACCACAGAGAAACCGAGGGAGAGGAGCAGGCCCAGCTGCTCAATGTTAGCAACCCCAACATCCCCTCAGAAACCAACTCCAGCCGCCGTAGCTCCTCAACCGTCAGCAAGTCAGAGTACATGGAGATTGATGGAGACATCAACAATAGCATCGACAACTTTAGGGAGGCAAACCTTAGAACTGGCAATTGCACTATAGCCAACCAAAACTGTGTTAATAAAAGCAAGCTGCTTACAGATGTGTAGACGTCACTTAGGTAGTTTAAGGTCTCTAAGGTACTGTCACATGTGGGGGTGGACCATGAGTTAGGAATGCTTCATTTACCTCCCCCAGTGCACTCTAAGGCATTAGGCCTCCAAACATGCTCAGCTATAAACAAAGGAAACACAGCTTTTAAAGTATTACCCATGTAGATAGAATAATTAATTTACTGATCCTACAACTATATAGTTAAGTCATGTATACATGGCTCCTTAGAGGACGCAGAGCACACCCTGTCTTAGGAGACAACAGCATTCTAATTCTTATGCATGGAGTACAGATAACATTTCAGCAAGTTGCACAATGCACCAGAAATGACCGCAGACGTTCAAGCCTCTAAGCCAAGTGGTAACCGCCAAGAAGTTAGATGACCCCCCCACCCCACCCCCACACCCCCACACCCCTCTCTCTCTCCTCTCCCTGCAAAGGATCTGCTACTCAGCAAAGCACCTTACAGTAGGATGACTGACTTCTCTCTTGTTTGGATGTACACAGATGGTGATCTGCTTGCTTCACGGACATCTGCAATGCTGCTGTTCTGCAGCAGTTGCTGCAATTGTGTTATCACCAAGTGATTCAATGCCATGCCCTTTATAGATGCAACACAGCACAATGGTAAAAATAAGCTTCATGCAAGCATGATCTAGAGATTTTCCATGTTGATATCAGCATGCATGAGACATATGTCACAGGGTGGGAAAGGGTGTTCATTTCCCACTTCTCATATGTTGTCACACTGAGTGCACTGGATGAGTTGTTTTTATTTGAATTGCTAATAATTTAGAAGTATAGAAACTGAATGTTAAACCTTAAGGGAACAGTACATAAATGAGATCATAGCATGAAAAAAGTAACCTGCATTATGACTTATCGACAAAGGTACTTTTGTATCCTCGTATATTTAATGCATGATATGAGTTTTACAGCTTGTTGCAGTTCATGCATTCTGCAGCGCCCCATCGTCAGGGAAACGAAGGAAATCAAATGCGGGGTGTTTCTGAATTGTTATCACACATGTCCAAACAGGTTGAGGATGCAGAGTTTCTGATTTAACAATAAACAAATGAAAGAACCGACGAATCAACAACAAAAATGCATATAGTGACAATAAGCACCAGTTACAGTATTAGTCAGTAATGCAGTGCGTGGACCTGGTTTGAAAGAGAAAAGTTGAATCATGCTTCCATCTCCACTCATTTTAGTACAGATTTATTTAGGAAAACCAAAACTGAATGTCACATCACATTTCAGAGTGTCCTTGTAATATTAGTTGTCAGTGCCTTCAACCCCCGCCCCCCCTACACACACACACACACACACACACACACACACACACACACACACACACACACACACACACACACACACACACACACACACACCAACAGGATCGTAGAAAGTGCCTCGGTGTTCAGTGGAATAGGTGTGTGATTGAGCTGGTCTGTTTCAGTGCTGAAAAGCTGTTAGTTGATGCCAGAAGGTTCAAACAGCAGGTGATGGTGGTAAAAAAAAAAGAAACATGCTGTCATGCACAACTATGTTTTCATGCTGATTTGCACTTAAATTCGCCATTGAGCAGCAATGTATTGTACTCAGCATGTTTACCATGAAGTCAAAAGGGAATTATTTATTTATTTATTTAGTTCATGCGTCCTTTCCTTTGTGCACCATTCATCCTTTCAGGGTCTCTACCTCAGTGAGGTCATTGCAAACTTGCTACAGAGCTGCAACCTTCAGAGCAGGGCTTCCTATACCTATTTACAGAATGATGTAAATGTACATAATGCAAACTAGAACCTTAAGTCACGCAATATTGAATGTGATAGTCCCAAAGCCTTTACACAAGCACTTACACACACACATAGGGCAAGTAGGGTACCACAATCACGCCCCCTTCCCCACTCTTCTTCCACTTAAAGCTGCGCACAATCAGGCCGTTCATTAGTGGAGAGTTGAGAAATGACGCTCCCCGACTGTTCTAGGAGCACGTTTCTATGGTTGTATTAAAATATAAGAGAAAAACGGAAAAGTAGACGTTGGGCATTATGATGTACTCCATCTTTTCCATGCTTGTGTTTTGTTTTCATGCATCATTTCTCTGCACGTTGTTTAACCCTCTGGAGGCAGGCGTTGCAGATTTGCAACGTTAAAACCTACCTACCTGGTCACTCCACATACGTATCTCATGAGCATTTTTTAACTCAGAAGTACCCCTGAAGGACTTAGTTGTTCGTCCTTTTATCAACACTTATTTTGAGCCTGAGAGGGTTAAAACGGGAGAGCTGCAGGTAGATTGGGACAAAATGTTACTTGAAAATCTCCAGCTACTGTACACCAATCTACTCGCTCAGTTCTGGTTCATCCACATAAAAAGTGAGACTTTGTGCTGCACTGTATGCTTTTCAAAATATATATATTTTAACACTTTCCTGGCAGGATCCTAGAAAAATAACAGCAGCTCCACTGCGGTGCTGCTCGAATGTCAGAGCTGTTTCTGTTGGTGCAATGGCCGCCCTCAGTGGTGCTAACAAGACGAACACTTTAGTCGTGCTACCAGAACTTCTGCAGCTAAAGCAAGCCTTCTTTAAATGTCCATTTGGTCATTTTTCCCACTAAGGGAGGTTATTTTAGGCAAAGTGTTTGTTGTTTTAGTTCAAACTGATCTTTGTACTGTAATCACAAAGGGCATCATCCTCAGGCAACTGCTTATCACAACAAATACTCAAATTGTGTACATTAAGTAAAACAAAATACATAAAGCATGTATAATGAATGTTTATATAGGATAAAACCAGAACATTAAAATAGCCTCAAATGCAGCTATAAAGAAATTGCTTAAAAAAGTTAAAAAAGCAAAACAAACGAATTAAACAGAAAATGCAGATGATAGCCTTGTGTTAGCCGTGAGGGCAGGTGGTGCTATGCATTCATCAGTCCAACACTAGACGCCATTCTCCACAGCGGTAGAGCAAAGTAGAGCTTTCTTTTGCGTTATGAACGTGGAAGAGTGGAACTCACAACCTCTGGCTGGTTGTGCTGGCGATGTTTTCAGGGTCAGATCCTTTTTATTTAGAGAAACAGTTTTGTCTTCAGTATCATAGTATAGAAAGACAAAGAAACGTCTCTCAGTAGTTTTAGACGTTGATTTGTTAAGCTCACTGTCAGACATCACACTTCTGCAAACAAAATGTGTAAGAAGAGCTAAAAAGGATTCAAAATACAAACTCTGTCTAAAAACTAAAGCTTTAAAGAAATCTACAGTAAGTTAGAGGAAGTAACCACGATACGCTGCAGTTATGTAACAGAAACATGTTTGATGTGAGATCTGCTTTTGTTCGGTTTGTTTATGGTGACACCGTCGCCAACAGGCCTTATGCTGGGACGTGAACACACTCCTGTAAGCCATGACCATGAAACCACTAGGAGATATGGACTATTATTATCAAAAGGGACTTTAAAAATCTGATTCACTCCTGTTTTAAATTTTTTTTGGTTTTTCAACTCAAACCCTCCTGCTGAACATCCTGCTATAATGGATCTCTACAGAAAAAAAAAACAACAACAAAAAAACAAAGTGCATGGACGATGGAGGACTGCATGAGCTTTACCTTTCAAGCTGCAGATCAACTAAACAGTTGCATCATTTCAAACAGAAACCCTTGCTCTCATCTGCACCAAGGCTTCCTGTAAAAGCTCCGTCATGAAAGTCGTTCTGAAGCGTGTCCTTTTGCCGGATCTCTCTAAAAGCACCTTAGCGCCGGCTGGGACGACGTCGGGTATCTGAGCCGTGCTCGCCGTCTCCGTGTGGAATGTTCGGGCCGTGCTTGCCAGACTCTGAATGTGAGCGAGGACAAGAAGGGCTAGATTCTTAGACTCTCAGACTCTGAAGCTCTTTCAAGAGACTTTAGTGATGCTGGTTGGTGAGAAACATGTCCGTCATGTCTAAAACTGGACACATTCAATCCTCTGTACAGACTTCAAGGGTTTTAAAAAGTCTCAGTGCTGGACTGCTTTTTTCATCTGCTGTGGAAGTGCTGTATGGGATGGAACCGTGGGACGTTGTGTTCCTTGTTTGTTTTTAAAAGTCTGATGGCTCCGAGTTTGTATTGTGAGTGAAGAATGCACCTTTACCTGCTGTTATGAAGGAGCTGGGCCCTTTCTGAGCACAGCGCCGAAGGACTGTAGAAGTCTTCTGCTCCTCTTTTCATCCACAAGCAAGTCAAACTCTGTCTAATCGAATCCAGCTGTCATTGTCATGTTGTGTTGACAAAAGGATTATGCTAGTGTGTGCAGCTCGTCGGATGATGACAAAGGCATGGTCTGTGATCTATGCAAGGGTTAATTGTTGAGTTCTTTTCTTTCGTATGTCACCTATAAATTCATCTACATTAACTTCAATAAATTTTTAAGGATCTGCTTGCGTTTGCTCATTTCAGCTCAGGGTGTGGAGGGGCGCATGCCTGCAGCTCCCCATGCACACGTTCTAAACCATGGATGCTTCTAAGCAGCAACATTCAGAATCTATGAAGATTAATACATTTGCCACCTGCAGATCAGCAGCTTTTGAAAATCTTTATTGTCTATATGTCTTTAATATGTAAATTATAACAAGTAGCAAAGATTGAAAACCCGATCAGGGGTTTTAAGTCTCAGGGAGTCCTAACAGTTTAGTCTTTGGTACTTTCCAATGATGTGAACAAAAACAACCTTTCTGATGAACTGAGGTGGAGTAAAGTACGTAAAGATCTCTGGTATTATTGCTAAGCTGGTATGTGTGGACACGCTACCTTCTCATCCCTTCAGTTAGTTTCCTTTGCTTTGGCGTGAGTGATTCAGAGTCAGACTTAAATGACTCACCAAAAAGATACTTCTGCAGAAATGGTTACATTCAGATCCATTTTGTTGCAAATGGGGGTGAAAATGAGTAGAAAAGCAACCAAAGAGAACGGTTCATCAGATCCCCGATAGAGAAAGTCTGGCTCGTTGGTACAAGAGTATAAAGGAAAAAAAAGACAATGCATGAATGAGAAGTGTTCAGTAGAAATGCTGCAGAGGTCCAGAACACGAGGTCTCCGTCTACTCCAGCTTTGATCGAAACCATTAGCAGTAATTGATGGGACCAAGGTTATAGTTCCTCACTGATCCTTCTGTCCCAGGAGGAGATCACTTACCTCTCTCACCACTCACACGCTTGTTCTACACGTCTGAAGTGTGAAAACGCTGCTTTCCCTCAGACTCACACCAACTCTGATCTGCTGAGAAGAACTCTTCCTTCTGCGATTGTTTCCAAATGTTTTCAATGATGAATCTTGTCTCACTCTTTAGATTTTTGCATTTGCATTTTGCTCTGTGGTAATTGTGATGTCACCATTCCTTTGGTAGATTGGTCTCCTGCAGCATGATAGAGGACATCCACTAACGTTGCTGCATTTCGGATTCTCTCTTTTGACAGGATGACTTCATCATCCACAAACAGAAGCGATGAAATGTTTGGTTCCGCCCTCAGCACAACATCGTTATGATTTATTTTGGTACGACGGTGGCACAGGAGTTAAGTGCTCGCCCCGTAATCGGAAGGTTGCAGGTTCGAGTCCCGCTCAGTCTGTCGCTGTCGTTGTGTCCTTGGGCAAGACACTTAACCCACGTTGCCTGCTGGTGGTGGTCGGAGGGACCGGTGGCGCCAGTGCTCGGCAGCCTCGCCTCTGTCAGTGCGCCCCAGGGCAGCTGTGGCTACATCGTAGCTCATCACCACCAGTGTGTGAATGTGTGTGTGAATGGGTGAATGACTGATTGTGTTGTAAAGCGCCTTGGGGGGTTCCAGGACTCTAGAAGGCGCTATATCAAATACAGGCCATTTACCATTTACCATTTCATGCACGAAGCTGAAGTTGTTCGATTGATTCTGAAGTTAGATCAGATCAGATTTAGTTCTTAGATATCTTCTGGTTTCTCTCAGTCAGAAGGTCACATCCTGAGGTTGTCTTAGATCATTTAGTAGTAATTTTCAGGGATGATAAAATCTTTGCTGTAGCTCTTTATTATATTAAAGAAAGCACGTTTTCAGATGCTTCTCGTTCTTAAAACTGGAAGTGGTCACCTCTTCACAATCCAGGTCAGTTCAGGTCCAGTGCACACTGCAGACCAAGCCCAGGTGAGTCTATTTGTGAATGATTCTTGTTAAAAATGTGTGCCAGTATCACGATTTTTACACGAACAGCAGATCGCCTGCAGGTCATTTGTCTGTCTTTCTCAGTTTGCCTGTTTGTGTGGGTTTTCGAGTGCACGGTGACCTGAACAGGAGTGAACCTCTTCCCTCTGCATTGCCCTCAGGAAATGCAGCACTCCTCACTCTGCAGGCAGCAGCAGTAAGGGTGGGGTAGGTTGGCGCTGGTCCCACTCTTCTCCCACCACTCGCTCTCTTCTCTCTTCACTCTGACTCTGCCCATCTTTGTCTCCCAGGCTCTTCTTGGTTCTCCCTCTCTTGAGTGCTAATAAGCTCCACTGGACTTTAATGACTAAAAGCATCGAGCAGAAGAGGAGAGGAGCTCAGCCACTGTAAGGGATATATGGAAAAGATGCTCCACCGGCGTGCAGGTTTTATTTATTTCTCCTTTCACTTATTTACACTACAGAATCAGTATTTTTTTAATGCAGCACTGTCTGATGGCCATGAGGTCACAAACAATCAACACTGGTTTTCTATAGAGTTCTAAAAGCTGTAACGCTATTAACACTGCTTGTGTTTTAACATAAATTTAATTTCATTTCATTTATTTTTAATTTCAAACAGACACATCCATCAGAATTTACTGTCATCATTAATTCAATAACATTCCTTTGTTTGAAAGGGAGTAGGCTGAAGCATAAACGTATATACAGTGATCCCTCGCTACTTCGCGGTTCATTTATCGCAGATTCACGACATCGCAGATTTTTTCTTTGGAGCCTTATTCAAGTGAAATTTGCATATTTGCGGTATTTTCTATGCGAAATATCAAGAAATTCCTGTTTTTTTTCATCAATTTTATCATAAAATGTTCTTTTTGTAATAAAACTATAAAAAAAACAAGTAAAATTTTTTTCTATGTAAAGGGAGGGTTTTAAAAGTCTGAATACTGAATACGTACCTGTTAAATAAATACTGTAAATATGGTGTCCCTACTTCGCGGATTTTCACCTATAGCGGCCAGGTCTGGAACGCATCTTCCGCGATAAACGAGGGATCACTGTATCCCTAGCCCTTCTTACATATCTGTTACTTGTGTGTTATGTTGTAACATCACACTAAATCATAACCATATTACACCTTCCTCAGAGTAGAAGTAAACCCACACTGGTCATCGGTTTTCTTCTTTATAATTACTTAAAATGTGTTTCTGATGACTTTTAAAAACTGGTTTATGTTTGTATTTGGTTTTATCTCCTCTTCTAAGCTATTCCATAATTTAACTCCTACTATTGCCATACCCATACTCTTTAGCGTTGTTCTAACCCTTTAAATGTTATCTTCCTCTCAAGTTATATCCCCCTTCTCTCTCTCTGTGAACAATTTCTGTTTATTGTTTAGTAGTGTAGCGTAATGGTTGCGTAGCGTAATACTACTATATATATATATATGTGTGTGTGTGTGTGTGTGTTATTAATATGATGCCCTTTTTTCTGCTTGAGAATGTGTTTATAGTTTTGCCCGGTAAAAGCAGTGGCGGGCGGTGCGTTCCACCCCTGGGCCTTCAGTGATTTCCTATTCAGTCCAATCTAATTTAATACACCTTAAAATACCATCAATAGGACATCACAGCTGGAGAAACCTCACACACACACACACACACACACACACACACACACACACACACACACACATACACACACCAGTGGCTGGTCAAGACACATAATTTCCAGAGTCTTTAAAATCAAACTCGCATTCCCAGTTGAGAGTAGGAAACTAAGACCACGGATACTGTCAAATCTCAGAAATGAAAGATGGGTTTACGAGATGAGACAATAAAATAAATAAGTAAAGCAAACACATTATTTGCATTTGTTTTGGAGAAAATTGTACCGCGAAACAATTGAACATTGGCGCAGCTGCACACACCACGTCATTCACAATATAAATTGCATAGAAACAGAACACAGAATAATTTCATTTTGCCATTTTATTTCGTTACCATTTATTTTTTTATTAACAAAATAAAATGACAAAACATTAAAAAAATACTAATAAAATGTTTCTACTCACCAACATAAATGTCCAGCATGGATCTCCTCCTCTCCTGCTCATTAGAAAATAAAATCCATCCGTCTTTCTTTCCTCAGGAAAACCTCATTGGCTCTGTACAGTTTATCTGTGCACTTCAGGTCCATGAGTGGATCCTTTTCTATGGACATGGAGGCTAATGCTGAAAGACGTGTCTATCCGATGGTCCGGTCGTGTTTCTGGCGTACATTTTAACGTGCTTTAATGCTACCAAATCCATCTGATGCGAGCAACAGGCATTCCCAGCAGAATAACCTGCAGCAGTTCTCTGAAGCTGTTAGCCATGGGTACCGTTCATAGTTGCTTGCCTGAAAATGACGAACAAATCCTTTCTCCTGCTGGGACAAGCCAGCTAGCATTGGAGTCCGATGATCTGTTCTCAAAAGATCCATTTTTTCTTGAAAGGTCCGTCTTGAAAGTGGTGTGGCAAGTTAATCTGCAACCAAGTCTGTCTCTTCTCCTCTTTCAGCCATCATGTGTTCAAAAATACACCGATAGCTGCCTATAGATACAAATCTCTGTGTTTAGTTTTGATATTTTGCTTCGTGCCGCTAGAAAAGTTCTAACTACTGCTTATCCAATCACAGGATGCGTTCATGTCAACTTTTGCGTGAGGCCAGCTAGCTGGCCTGGGCCAAGCTGACTCGTGAGCTGATTGGCTATCGCAACTGGCTCGTCTCTGTTCACTTACAGCGGACAGCGGGCTTCTCGATTGATTCTGAAGGCCTAGGGCAGACTTAATCTGCCTGAAAACACAAGCTAGCTTAAATCTGATTGGATAACACCCAGCCTTGGTATTTTAACACTGGAAGCAGTGCAGCCAAGTGGGTATAATAGGATATAAAGAAAATAGACCAGTAAACATTTTTTTTATTTAAAAATAATTACCAAAGGAAAAAAAATACATTTACGCTTTTGAGTATGTTTAGGCCAGCAGAGAAGGCTTTGCTGGCCCTGACTGCCCACCACTGGGTAAAAGTATATAAAAATGCGTTTTTAGGTTGAGGAAAAACATATTGAGCTTAATGTAAAAGTGAACGTGATTGAAATTAAGTGTAAAATCCTAAATGAGCTTCCCTGCTCCAGGGTTTCATTAAGAGTCATAATGAAGATTGTGAGAATGTAAGATTAAACATGAAAGAATTAAGCTAAAATAT